TCTCTTAACATATTTCCAACGGTGATTGGTTGGTTTCGAAGTTACCTGTCTGGGCGCCGGGAATGTATTCGAATTGATGACACATTTTCTTCTTGATGTGATACCATTGCTGGTGTCCCGCAGGGTGGCGTATTATCTCCCTTACTTTTATAAATTTTAATTTGTTTTGTAATTGTAAAAAAAGTAATGAGACAAACTGGCCTGTGACTCAGCTATGTGGTGATTTGAGGTCACCGCTGGTATTATGCCACAGCCGATTTTAAAAAAACACAGTATCTTATCGTAATTTTGACATTGACGTGAAACAACATAAAGAAATGTGCTATGCAAATTGGCAAATTTATATATGATACTTAATACCTGCCTGCCAATTTTTATTTTTGTTAAATTAATATCAAGGTAATGCTGTGTCACCTATAAGGATGCACACATCAGTCCCTAGATTAAAGCCCACTTTCAATTGTAATATTGTGTGCACTGCTGGTGTCCTATGAATAAATAAATAAATGAATAAACATATTGGAGCAGCGTGGTGGACTAACTGTTCCATAATTCTCTCAGAAATACTAGAGGCATGTGCATAGCAGTGGAACGTGAATATTAACCACGTAGTGGCGGTATAAGTATATCCACTACCTCATATCATCCCATGGGCGTCGTAAGAGGCATTGAGAAACAAACCATGTGATTAGCAGCAGCGTGTTCATATTAACAACTAGAAAATAAATAAACTGCGGTTGCCAACCCACTTGCCAAACATGGCATATATGACAAACATTATTATGAGGTAATCTATAGGGAGGCATATGTTCAGCAGTGTACTTTGATAGTCCGCAATGAATTAATTATGAATGGGGTGGTCGCTTCCAAGCTGTTTCTGTAAGTAGTTTGTACAACCTTTCTTATTGTATAATTTACTTTAAAAAAAGTCCCGCTGGGTATCCTGATAATGCAGTGGTAAAAGAAATAAATGATTTTAAATAAAAACTACTTGTAATCTATATTGAATAACATATTATATTATTCAATTCTAATGTAAATAGACAATGACTATTCAATTTTCTATGCATATTCTTGACTTTGATTTATTCATTTTCTTTTAAGAATCAAGCTTCGTTTGTATGGATCACACTCGGAGTAACATTTCTTAAATATTCAAATTATTTTAAAATCTCTAAAGGGAAATCCCGTACTCTTACATTGCTTAGTTAACACAAAGTTAAGCTCCCGTACGAGCAGCTGAAAATGCCAACCGCTCATATATCTCACGACCGTTTAATCTCCTTTGTAGACGCTTTAGCGGAAAAACTCGCAAAGGTAGCAAAGATTTCTCTTTGTCCTTGTTAACGTGATATTTTTCGTAACATATACAGGTTTTACAAATTTTAAAATTTATATTCACTTACGAAGAGATGCTTGCATTATTTTGCGTTGTGTTTTGTTTGCATACAAAGAAAAAAAAATATAAAAAAAATGTTTGCTTCTGAAAACACTGCACGAAATTGCTTAATGTTACTAGAAGAATTTCACAATAAATTATTTAATACAATAAGGTAACACTTTGCCATCCAGTATATTGAAGACTAGCGACACGTACAAGTTTCGCCTGCGTAGAAGATATTAAAGTGGCGTTATTTGGATTTAAAATAATCAACGATCATTTATTTTATCCATTATTAGTTTTTTTCAAAAAACAACTCAGTTTTTAGGATAAAATATAGCTTAGATAACTCTTGGCATTCCTTTCTATCTGTTCGAAGGAGACATTCCAAAGACTAGCTCGGACAGACAAACAGACAATTGTTTTAATGACATGTAAATACCTCTGCTCAATATAAGGCAGTTATTTCGATATTACAGACACATATTTCAATTCCATTTATATGTTTAAAGATTAAATGAATCTAACTTTTACGGATTTTATCGCATTTAATTTAACTTTTTAATTCCCGACGTTTCGGGTGCTTTACAGCACCCGTGGTCACGTGGGGAGACTGAGGTGTTTGACGTCCCGATGTCATAGTTAGCCCGGCTACCTTCAGTTTTTGAATATTAATTTTTGGTCTTTTTGGTCTGATCTACGCAGATCGTAACATATACAGATTGGTGCTGTAAAGCACCCGAAACGTAGGGAATTAAAAAGTTTAATGAAACGCGATAAAATCCGTAAGACTTAATAAAAATGGCGCTAACTAACCGAAATTATAATATAAAATATAGAAAGGCAACTAACTCGCGATGAAGGCGTACTCAAATCAGGAGAAAGGTTTTTGAATGGTTACCTTGTACTGGCAAGATCAGCCTAGCCAACCAATAACAACGATGGCCATAGATACAATATTATATAACCTATTTAGATCATTTATATGACATACTTAGTGTGTCTGGATACAGGTGACTAAGAACCGTGCTTTGTAGAGGAGGCTCATGTGCAATAGTGATGGGCATTAAATACTAGTTCATTAATTACTTTTAGCGTGTTTACTGTAAGCTGTTTCTTTTGCATTATCAGTGACATAAAAATCAAAACTATTGAAACAAATTTCGGAAAAGCTTATTATATTTTTTTTTATAGGATCGAGTGACAAACGAGCACACAGTCCACCTGATGGTGAGTGGTTGCTGTGGCCCATAGACATCTACATCTATCCTCGTTTGCGAATCAAAATGCAGATGCGTTGTCACTCGTGAGGACTAAGAGGGAATGCCTCTTGTCCAGTAAAAAGGGTCTCCGGTTCTCTACACTCACCATACGAAACACAGCAGTATTAAGCTGCTATTTTACGCTGGTATTCTGTGAGAGCGTGGTCCTTCCCCGGTCGAACCAACCCATTCGTGCTACAACTATACTACTAATATAGCTGCAGCATGGCTCTACCACGTATAAGTATATATATATATTATACATTACTTAATAATAATAATTAACATTTATTTAATATTTATTATTAGATTATTCATTATTCATTACAGCGTGTCAATGGACCACTGCTTAACATACAATATGTTACCTCATGGAGGATAATTGTTATACTTACCGCGCTTGGCAGGCAAATATTCTTAAACCACCGCTACACGGACAAAATGCATTATAAAGGCTGATTGTTCTTTTTGTGAGAGATCACAAATACCCTATTTAATAAGATATGAGAAGAGGTGACTAAAGAAAAAACCAGGAAGAATCCAAGACTATTATAATTGGTATATCAGCTCGTATTTGTCAGTTGTTAGATTTTTTAATAATAAATAACAATAGACTTTATTTATTAAATAAGCTGCACATATGTCGCACACAATAATGAGCACATAGTCCACCTGATGTTAAGTGGATGCTGTGACCCATAGACATCTACATCTATCCTCGATTTAGCCATTACAGAATACCAGCGTAAAATAGCAGCTCAATGCTACTGCGTTTCGTATGGTGAATGTAGAGAACCGAAGATTATTTCTACTGGTAACGAGGCATTCTATCTTAGTCCTCACGGGTGACAATGTATCTACAATTCGTTTCTTAATCGACGATAGATTTGGATGTCTATAGGTCACAGCATTCATTTACAGGTGGACAGTGCGCTCGTTTGTCACCGTTATTCCATTAAAAAAATCAGTTTAAAAAAAATTATCGAGTTACAACGAAGTGTTTTTCAGCATTACGGTAACCTGGAAATTTTTATTCACCGCAATAAACATCGTTAGCCTCGTTCCTCGAGTAATTAAATTACCATCAAGCGGATTTGTTATCAAGTTGTCGATGTTCAGTTCCTTTATAACATTAACCGCAACACAATGGTCGTGGAATTATTGGATCGATGGAATCAGCTATTTGTTGACATGAAGTTTTGTTCTATACACGTGTAACTACTTGGTACTATAACATATTAATTAATTTATTCCATTATTAACTATTTGAATTTCACTGTGTCAATATTTAGAAGTCTGAACTTAAACATATCTTAACTTAACTTTTGTTTTTATTCAATATAGATTATAAATAAGTTCTTGGAAACAACCAGCAAGAAGCCCAGCTGTCATTTTTTTTTTAGAAAACAGAACAGTTTAAAATAATTTAATATGTTACACAATAATTAACAACACATAACAAACAAGAAATAGCTTGGTAGCGATCACCTCATTCCCAGGGGTTATTATCATCCAGAAATCCCTTAATACTATAATAACCCTTTTATACAATCATTTCTTCATTATCGTACTATTCATTATCAATATCTCAATAACATAAATGTGGTTAAAGTTATCTTTTTTACATTGCCTTACATAGAGGGGTGGCCACAGGAAAATAACTAAGACATAATTTAAATTTAATGATGCATAACTTGACATGTAACAATAACTTAAATTTGACATTTAATTGTAAGAATAATAATGATAAATTTCATTTAATTGATATTAATAATTTAACTAAGAAGTTTTTGACAAGAGATAGGTATTACCTATCAAAGTATAGTTTAAGACTGGTAGCAAATACGCTATCTTATTATTTATATTTTAACTCAGCCAATGATTTGGCTACCTTGACACCTGCTTCGTTTGAGCAACAAAATAATTTTATATTTGATTTGGAACCAGTTCCAAGTAATTTAAATTAGATAATAAGACAATAGAGGTAATCTCTAGCAAAGATAATTTAAATAGCTTAGAATGCAACTTACCAATACATAATTATGCAATTTCACAAAATAACAATAATAAAAACTGTATCAACCTGGTGCATCAAAATATACAAGGTATGTTAGGCAAAGAATTAGAAATTGAATTATTTTTAAATAGTAACAGTATAAATATTTTATGTATTACAGAACATTGGTTGAAAGAATACAACTCCATATTTAATTTCAGTAATCACCAGGTGGTCAGTTCGTTCAATAGAGATACTAAATTACGTGGTGGCTCCTTAATATTAGCTAATAAGTCCTTATCATGTAAAGAACGTAAAGACATTGTGAGCCTCTCTGTTGAGCGTACTGTAGAAATGGCATATGTTGAGCTTGAGCACCTTATTGTTGTCAGTGTTTACAGACCCCCAAGTTCAAGTTATGATACTTTTGAAAAAATTATGGAAGAAGTTTTAGTTAAGCTTAATAAACAGAATAAATCTCTTGTAGTGTGTGGAGACTTTAATATCAATCTCCTGGAAACTTCTTCCATCAGTATTAAATTCTGTTCTTTGTTCAAATCCTATAATCTTAATAATTTATTCTTTGAAGCTACACGTATTGCAGGGTGTAGTGCAACTTGTATTGATAATATTTTCACAGGTGTTGTAGCAATCAACAAATCAATAATTCAAAAATTTTGTTCAGATCACTGTGGACAACTGGTTTCGTTACCTTATATGCACAAAAAACAGGTAATTGAGAAAATTGTGTTTGTTCCTATTAATGCAAAACGCCTGGAGAGATTTAGAAGTAATATGTTAAAAATCCTTCCATCCCTTTCTTATAAGAACAATGCAGACTATTTATATAGATAATTATTTACCTTTATAAACAATGAATTTAATAAAACATTCACTTCTAAAACATTCTCCAGAAACAGTCGCAAGGATGTTCATACCTTAAACACTAGGAACAAACATAAGCTTGTAATGCCACTTACAAGACTCCACAGAATTAGTAATTCATTTATGGGGCAATGTATACGCTTTTACAACAGAATCCCAGAACATGTTCAAAGTTTGTCAATAAACAAGTTTAAAAGTTTCATTAAAGAAAAACTGTACAAAAAGGGTTATTATAATATCAAGGAATACATGAATGAAAATAACCCCTGGGAATAAGGTGACCGCCACCATGCTGGTTCTATGAAAATTCATTTAAAATTGTATAAACAAAATTATTGTTAAGTGAAATTATGTTTAAAAAAAAAGTCCCGCTGGGTTTCTTGCTGGTTCTTCCCAGGACAGAGGTATTTTCCGAACCAGTGGTAAATAAAATAATGACCTTCAATAAGTATTATGTAATAATCCATATTGAATAAAAATCATTCTATTCTATTCTATTCTATTGCTTGGTAAAGATTTTAAAATTGGCGGAAGTCAGATTTGGTGTATTTTCTGGGACATTGCTGTAAAAGCGTATACATCGCCCGAAGAATGATTTGGACTGTATTTCCGGTTCAACTGTTTAAAAAGATTGTCCACATCAAGCCTTGATCGAAGCATTTTAGTAACACTTCACTGTGGGATGCGGTCGGCGGAAGTTGTAAAGGATTTATACGTAAATGAAATTTTTGTTTCGAATATATAGAGAAGAAACGTTTCCAAGTCAACCTACGTTCTTAAAATATCAATTTTTTAAAATCGATTCTATTTTTTTTTTTATTAAAAAAGTTATTAGTCACCAAATGGGAATTTGTTAAACGAAAACGAATTGTATCTTTGCTTATTAAAAATATGTATGACCATAAATTCAATGCTAAGGAATTTTCTCGAGTGGAACGGTAACGTAGGGTCACTTCTGGATGAAGCAGCGGTGTGATGAAACGTGATTAGAGCCGATAGACGCAATACTGTTCTCTATTCTACAATCTGTAATGTATGGATGTATGAATATGATGCTTGCAAATTTGATGCTTATGGCAACATAAATAAGAAACAGTAATGAATACAGTGGAGTAGTCATGAACGTTGTAACGAAGTTAAATTCGCGATTATAATGAATGGGTTCCTGTCGCATATCGCGAGAAGAATGCACTTTGCATGCGAGTAAAAATGGCGGACGGACGACATCTAGTTTTATGGTCCGCGAAACGAGCTTCCACTGAGGAAACTTTTTAAATTATAGTCGAGAGCATAAAATTATTATTGTGGCTAGCGATGCGACGTATATGAATAGCTCTTGTCTAAGTGTACGGGTTTAATTAAAATGTAACTAATATTTAATAATATTTGTGTTTTTTCGATTACTTTGGTCAACGATTAGTATTAAAAATATTCTTGTATATTGATTTACTCAAGAGGGGACTTACTTCTAGGAAAGAAATTCCTCGAATTGCAGTCTCGTACAGGTAAGCGAAACGAAGCCGCCTACTAAATTGAGTGACGATTTGGTAAGACAAAACACGTAGGAAAACGAAGGTATAGGATGCAGATGGCTTACGACAGTAATTTATGGTATTATTAGGAGGAAAGCTATACTCAGCAGTGGACTTGTAATGAACTGTAATTTTTTCCTAATAATTATAAATAAAACTTGTAAAGGTTACAAACGAATTGTTGCAATGATTGTTAAACTAGAATTAATCCTGTATATTAAGATATCAGTACGTTCCCATACAATTTTACAATATCAAATTTTAATCGTATATGTCGCAGCCAACTAGCTTTAGTAACCTTTCAATTAACAGTCTAGCCTTTTTACTAAACGGCGCCGTTCAACTAGCGGCCTTAATGATTTTCAGCTGACTCGTCTAATATACCGTTGCGTATATCTGTAATATCAGCGACAGCAGGTAAAGGTGCTTTTGGGGTGGCCCTTGGGTCACCCAGCACGTATATTGTGTGGACGATACCCTCGGTAGGAAATGGGATAGTGGATATTCTTACACCGCCTCTAATCGGTAAAATATAAATAAGATACCCAAATTGACGACGAGGAGCAGCGTAAAGGTGTGAGTCTGGTATTACGCTTCACAATCCACTTACATTATTACATTGTCGACAATTAACGTTAATTCTCCCTACAATGACAGAGTATAATTCGGTTAGAGTAAGTCACTTACTTTCAATTTTACTTACAGTCCAAGTCAATGGATAGCTTTTACAGTAATATTGAGAGCATCCATGTATTGTAATTTTTCCTATATTCCTCCACACTAGCAGACCACGGTAACATTATTCGAAATAGATTATTACGTAAAATAGTGCAAATTGTTATGAGCGTTATGGTCTTTCGTGTGGTGAGAGCAGAGAACCCGAGACCCGAGACCCCTTTTTACTGGAATAGAGGCAATCTAAGTCGCCTGTTTAGACAATGGATCTGCATTTTGATTCTTAATCAAGGATGGATGTAGATGTATATGGACCAAAGCATCCACATACAACCAGCTGATATGTGTGCTCTTTTGAGATCATTATTGTATTACAATCATCATTAAAAAGTAAACATCATAGTAGTTATCAGCGTGTTAGGTTTTTGCAACCAAATAGCAGTACTCTGTTTCGCACTGAAAGGTATACATATGTAATATAAATACAACGTGTGGAATTCTATCTCATTACTCAGAAGTGACAACACATCGGTAGCTTTCTTTGTTTCAAGATGGCTGCAGGTGTCCATGGACTTCAGTTGCCACTTATCATCAGGTGGACTGTGACTATGAGACTGGTTCTCATTTGTCACTTCAGTTTTATAATAAAAATATTTAAGTTAGAATGCAGTCGGTACCAACAGCATATAATTTGTTAAAATAATTCCAACATAAAGAAAACAATTGGAATGAAAACACAATGGAGAGATGCTCGTCTGTGTACACTCTTAATTTGTTTTCCTCCTCTTTAGAGAATAAGAAACAACGGGCGGTTAGTCTTTAATTTGCATTGTGATTCTGTTCTAAGCGATAAAAATAAATATTTAAATTCGCAATAGTGAGAAAAGTGAAAAAGTGCAATTTCCACAATTTATCAAGTACTCGGTGGTTCAGGAAAATTTTGTGAGGAAACCTGTGTCCTTGAAATTTATATTTCAAGAACATGTAAATTCCAGCAACAAGTTCTGAAGAAGTATTTGCTGCATAAACTTCACACAGATGAGAGATGATAAAACTATATACTTTACTTTAATTTAAGTATGTAATATTAATTATTTAATAACTACTCCTTAATGCGGACATTAAACTTTTCTATAGTGTCTCTCTCCACGGTTCTGGATCCTCCTTCTTAACCCTCATCCCTCAGTCGATTATCGTCGTCTGACGAGTGCTCTCGACTGGTTCATTTTTTATTTATTATTTTATTCACTTATCGCACTTACAGCAATTTCATTAATTGGAAAATTACAGTTCACGTGATGGTAAGTGGTTATTGCAGAAATTGGTAATTTTAAATTTTATTTTAATATTTTTTTAGTTTTTTTTAGTAGTAGACTGACGACTTTAGGAGGATCCAGAAGCGTAGAGAGAGATACTATAGAAGAATTTAATGATCGTTTTGTCTCGTATATATAGTTTTACCATCTCTCATCTGTGTGAAGTTTACGCAGCAAATACTTCTTCAGAACTTGTTGCTGGACTTTACATGTCCTATAAATATTAATCTCTCAGATATACAGGTTTTCTCACAATGTTTTCCTTAATCACCGAGTACTTGATAAATCAGCATTTAAAATTGAAATAAACGATATTCATTGGTGCTGGTGAAAATTTTCTCACATTTACGGATTAAATATTTAATTATATCGCTTAGAATAGAATCACAACGCAAATTAAAAACTAACCGCCCATTGTTTTTTATTCTCTAAAGAGGAGAAAAACAAATTAAGAGTGTACACAGACGAGCATTTCTCCATTGTGTTTTCTTTCCAATTGTTTTCTTTATGTTGGAATTAAATAAACAAATTATATGCTGTTGGTACCGACTGCATTGTAACTTAAATATTTTAATTAATTATGTACATACCATCCAGAAGAGAATGCAATAGGTTTTCCCTCCATAATAGTAACATTGTAATATTACAATGTTACTATTATGTAAATAAATATCCCAGAAAAAATAATTATAAAATTCAAAACAAAAATTATTTATCTCTAATAATAAAATTGGAAACAAAAATTATTTCTTGTATTATTATACACTATTACTAAAGCTTTATTGCGTATGGTTATTACTCCAAATAGATTAATACAACGACGCAATTTGATAATAGATTCTACTAATGGACTCTAAAGTGACATTTACATTTAATACTAAGATTGAAAGCAAATAATTGTGCATGTATTCCAATTATTACTCACTAAGTTTGTAACTTCGTGTAGAGGCGTCGGATGGCATTCCACCACCCCAAATTACCCAGGAGATGTCATAAATTTCGAGAAAAACAAACAAAACAAGAGATGAGCGGCAAGGTCTTTCTGATAACCGACAAAAAAATAAAAAATAAACTACTGCTTCTACTACTACAGCGCGTTGCGTCTTTGTAATAACAAAAAGAAACTGCGGCTGCCAACCCACTTGCCAAGCGAGTCAACTATGGCAAATATTCACGTGGCAGTGCCATGCTCCAGCTAAATGGTTGTAGCACGAATGGGTCCGCTCGAACGGGATAGGACTACCTCTCACAGAATACCAGCGTAAAATAGCAGCTTAATGTTGCTGTGCTTCGTATGTTGAGTGTAGAGAACCGCAGACCCTTTTTACTTAATGTGCTCGTTTGTCACCCTTATTCTATAATAAAAAATATCCGTCATATGAGTTAATCTAAGAGGTATTTATATATGTAGTAGTAAACTTTTGATAAGCTGTCATGTATAATTGAAAAATGTGTGATCATTGTATTTAATATATTATGATGAGTACCGTCTGTGTCTTGATTTTATTCGTTCTGCAGTTGTTTCTTATTATAGTCCTTATCTTGTGTCATTGAAGACTCTTAATCTATGTAATTAAAGGTCTATAGATACATTGGACCACCTAGTAATGGATCTTTGGTTTTTGAAAACTCTTACTCTAAACTCTAAATTCTTACAAAAACAAGACTCGATCATGCTATACACAGTAAATAGCAGTGTTCTATCTATATTAATTAGTAAAAGAAACAATCAGCCTTTAGAGCCACGTAAAAGTAAGAGTTTGATCGCCGCTGGCGCAAAGGAAAGACTCAATAGCAATTTTAAAATTAAAATTTTAATTGACAATATCATTTGTACCGTATGGTAAACCACATACTCGGCGATGAATAGAGATATTGCGAGGAAACTTGCACGCCATAGGAACTAAAAGATTATTTTTGTCACTATTATTGTTTTGAATGTTAGTTCCCGTTACCTTCAAATTAATGCATGATTAACATCCGCTCGATAAAATAAAATGATGTGCCTTACCTAGTTTGAAGAGCACCTCCCGCCCTCCCTCAATTATTTTATTATTAAATAACGACTTTATTATAATGGACTTCCGCAAAGTAACGCCTGATTCTATTAATTATCTTAATGCTTAATTTCTAAAACTTCTATTTGTAACTAGGTTACTACCCTCTTCTCATTACTGCCGCCAAATACCAGTGCCTGCACTGCTGCGTTCGAGTCGGAAGTATATAAAAATCCAGTATTATAACAGGCTTCGGCGTTTTCCACCTGAGTCCTTAGAAATGACTTCGCATCTGTAGCCATCTTTGTTTGAAGTTGAATGCATGTGTGCACAGGCTGCAGTAACCTGCTAACATTAAGAGGATTATACGTTCGTTTGTTACTTCAATTTTATAAAAACTAGAAGCCCAACTTTGTTTCGTCTGGTAGGGATCTATTAATGTTATTTAGACTTAAGATTCATCAAAGACCATTATTATTTCATAAATTTTTTAATAACGAAAATATTTTTCAATATATTTCAATGCGTACGTGGTAGAGCCATGCTTTAGCTATATTAATAGTATAGTTGTAGCATGAATGGGTCGGCTCGACCGGCGAAGGACCACGCTCTCACATAATACCAACGTAAAATAGCAGCTTAACGCTGCTGTGTTTCGTGAGGTAAGTGTAGAGAACCGGCGACCCTTTCTACTGGAAAAAAGACATTCCATCTTAGACCTCACGGGTGACAACGCATCTGCATTTTGATTCTTTATTGAGGATAGATGTGGATGACTATGGGTCACAGCAACTACTTACCATCAGGTGGACTGTTTGCTCGTTTGTCACCCTATCCTATAAAAAAAAGATAACGTTTGTAATTTTTCATTAATTTCAGTTGAACCATTCCCAAGATTATGTCGAATGCACAGAGTGACAAAACTCTTAAAAAGGGTTATTTATAACTTAATGGCATACATTAAATGAACTCAATAAAAGGCAGTGATTTCGATATATCAAACAGATACTACAATTTTATTTATATGTGCAGAAAAGCTCCTTCCGATAAAACGCTGGTTATAATACAAAACTCAAACGAAGATAATTGTGCCTCTTTGTTTATTCAGAGGAAAGAATAATTATGCTATTCCTATTAAAATAACTAGCTGGTAGCCAGCGCTTTGCTACCACAGAAGAAATAATTGTGGAAATATCGTTTTAAATTTGGAAGAATTATATTGTTTAATTAGTAATGATAATAGATTTCTTGAAGTTGAGTAATAAATTACTTTCAAATAAGTTTCGTACGATACCTACAG